CGCAGTGCCGACGGCTGGGGCCCTGGGGACCGTGGAGCCCCTCTGCCGACGCTGCCCTCTCGCTCCCCACGTCGCCGCGCCCCTCTTCCCGTTTCTCCTTCACGCTGGAACGAATCACCTACCCGGCCCGGGAGGCAGCGCTGGAGCCGCGCACCACCTGCGCCCCGCGCTCGCGGCCGGACCCCCGCGAGGCGCCAGCGTAATGAAGGGGTGAAAGAGAAGCTGGGCGCCTGGAGGAGCCGCGAGGGCAGTAACCGAGTGACCGCGGCAGGTGCCCATCTCCTTCCGGGGGCAGAGAGTGAGCGATCCCGCCTCCCCTTGAACGTCTTGGACCACTGACCCCGCCGGGGAGTCGGCCTCCAGCAGGGGCGTGGAGCCCAGGGGCTCAAGTACCCGGGGACTTCGGGTGCTCTAGCTGCCCTCTGGCTGTGGAGTCCAAAGTGTGACCCTTATCACAGCAGGCCGCGTGCCTGCCTGGCCACCGGGCAGCAGGCTGTGTCTGGACTTTACCTTTGCTCCAGGGATGGGGCCAGGTGCCATGCTGAGTCTTGACCCAACTCTTCTCCCATGACCTAAGGCTGGGGTGGGAGCAGCGCGCTCAGACCCGGCACCTTTCCACGTCAGCGGTGGAGGGGCCACCCAGGCCTGCAGTGGCTGCTGAAACGGACAGCTAGAGGCAGGGCCCCGACTGGCGCCCCACGGAGGGCGCATTTCACGTGCCCAGGCGGGCTGCTCCTCTGCAGAGCTCTGCTGTGTGGAATCCCAGGTGGCTGTGGGGTGACCACAGCCTGGCAGGCCGGAAGCTGAGGACGCTGCCGGGGGCATGGACAGCTCTGAGGCCCCACCCCGCCACCCGCCTGGTGGTCTGCCTGCTGCCTGTGTGGAGGGTCTGCACGTTCATGAGACTCCCTCGGGGGCAGAATGGCCCTAGTTGCGGAGGAGAGGGCCTCCATTCCCTTCCTTCTAGCACACAGGGCTCTGGCGCTCACTCCGAGGATACTATTTTGTTTGGAGAGGGTCGTTATCACTGGATGGCGTCTAATTCTGGACCGCATTCCTTGTCCCTAACCTCATTGCCCTCCCATGTTCACGTTGTCTGAGCTCGCTGTCGGGCAATTGCTGTTGGTTCAGAAGTCTACCGGGCCTCTAGCTCTGGGACCCTACCTCCTGCTTCCTGTCTTCCAGTGCATCTATGGGACCAGGGTTAGGGGAGAAGGTGGGTGGGGCGGGAACTGCTGTGGCTTGTTCCCAGCCCTCTCCTCCTCCATTGGGGGTGTGTGCGAGTGCATGCAAGCACCTGTGAGAGATGCAGAGCACACCAGGGAAGACAAAGTGGCCATGAGGGAGTTATAAACCAGGAGGTGGTGATTACTGGCGGTACTAAATGACACCCTAGAGACAGCAGGTGCCAAGGGCCCCTAACTTCTCCCAGTGTCTCCCAAACCGAGGGGGCAGGAGGAGCAAGAGGGAAATTGCGATCCAGAGAGCGGAGGAGACAAGCCTGGGCTTACAGTGCCCTGGGGTGAGCTGGCTAGACTGGCCCAGTGGACCTGGGAGAGTTAACCCTTTCACTTCCCTACAGGCTGAGGCCCAATCTCCACCTGCCACTGCCACTGCCCAAGGGCTTGTCTTGAGCCTCTCTAGGAGTAGAGGTTCCCAGGGAAAGCTGGAGTCTGGAAGCCAAGGGTGTGGTCAGCCAGTGTGTGGGCTGGGGCGGGGCTCCCAGGTTCTGCTGTGGCTGTTCTGACCTGCTGTGAAGGTTGCTGTCACAGTCTCCATTTCCCAGCCCTTTTGGGCTGGACTGAAAGGAGCACACAGCTCCAGGGGCAGAATGCATCTCAAGACTGGGGGTGGGAGGCTTGCCTCTGCTGAGTGGAGCTGGGGGTCACCTGGGCCTTGGATACTGGATATTGTTCTTGGTTGCCCTAGACACGCCTCACATCCCTGGATCCAGAAACAGCGCCCCTCCATGCCTCAGTGTCTTTTTTTGGGGGGCTATGCTATAGGGCACATGCACTCCCCAGAAAGAGAGATAGAAAGCAAGAAATCACCCCCCCCAGGGGGGACAGCCATGCCGCAATCCCTTCTCCTCCATTCTGCTCTCTGGGCACGCACGCACACGTGCCTGGCATGAGTTTAAGCCACCAGGTCCGGGCCTTGTACTGTCATTGACTACATGGGAGTTCTTAGACATAGCCATTATGCCAACTGCTGGCCTACCATGCCTCGATTTCCCCCCTATGTGGATACCCCGTCAGGTGCTCATCTCAACCCCAGAGCTGGTGAGAAGGTATCTATCTGTCCAGGGTTGGAGCTTAGAGGATCCGATGTCACTGTCTGATAACCTGAGGGTGACTTCCTGGAGTTGGCATGAAGGTTCCCATGGGGTTAGCAGAAGGGACTTGCAGGGCAGGAAGGTCAGGGAGACTCCCCAAAGACTTGGGCTCTGCCTGGCCCAGCCTCCCAGGGCAGGGGTGGGGCCATCTGGGCCGATGAGGGCCTGGCAGGCACTGGCAATAGGGGACAGTGTCCTCCCTGCCTGGAGTGGGGAGACTCTGAGGGCTTGGACTGGGAGGCACCCGGTCATGTGAGGCAGATAAATACCAGGAGGCCAGGCCACTGCGCACTCTGCTGGTGCCTTAGACCAGAGCGGGTGGCCTCCCTCCCCTCCCTGCCTCCTCCCTCCCTTGCTCCCTCCCTCCCTTGCGTTCACTGGCAGCAGTTCACCTGTGCAAGGTCCTGGGGCTACAGAGGTTGAACGGGACACAGTTCCATTCCTCCACGGGTTACAGACTCGCGAGCAGACGGGCTGGTGGACAGAGCGTTGCCGTGTGGGCTGGACAGAGGCTGAACTGGGAGCTGTGGGAATACTTTGGAGGGACCAGTGACTACACGGGCGAGCCAGAGAAGACTCCTAGAGGAGGCAGACTTGGTGCTGGGACTTGAGGGATCGGAGTAGGAGTTTGCTGGGCTGAGAAGAAGGAAGGGCATCTCTGGAGGGGGACCCGCATATGGAAAGGTGTGTTTAAAAGGAAATTGACAAAGGGCAGGCTTCCCCGTAGACCTCTGGAGAGTCGTCCTACCCTTCAAAGAGCCAGATCTGGGTGGGGGCTTAGGAGGACAAACCCTGTCCCTGGCATGCAAGCACCTCCACAAGGTGACCCCCTGCAGACGTCCTCTTTAACCTGCTGTTCCTCTCCACCCTCCCTGGATGTGTCCCTGTCCCGGCTTCCCGAATCCCATGCCTTTGCCATTCCCCTTGGCCACACCCCTTCCCCACCCCTGTCGGCTTAGGGCTCCTTTGGGAGCTTTTCCTGTACCAAGCACAGCCCTCCCTGCCTGCAGCTGCCCTGGTGCTGTTTCTTTAAAAGCACACTCGAGGAGGTACATGCGCGTGCCAGAGAGACAGAGAGAGGGAAAGAAATCGCCCTCAGGGTGGATGGCCCCACTGCAAGCCCTTCTCCTCCGCCTCCCCTCGGGATGTTGGGCATGCACACACATGTGCCTGGCATGTTTTTCAAGCCACCGGGTCTGAGACTTGAACCACGCAGTCGGCTATGTGGGGTCCAGCTGCCTAACCACCATGCCATCAGCTGGCCCAGCACCAATCTCACTTTGCCTCCCACTGTGGATGTTCGCAGACACTCAGGCCCTCACTGGAGGACAGGCTCCTCCTGGCCCAGGGTCTGGCACAGCACTGGCACGCATGGGTGAGGGATTGCACTAGTCCACTTGCCAGAGGGTCCAGACAGTAGACCTGGAGGTGGGCTTGTCTGCACTGCCTTCTCTCCGCCCGAAGGAGCCACCTCCACTTAGCTACTGGGACTGCTTTTCTAACGTC